GTTCGTAGGCTCCTCAACTAGGCAGCGTTCGGTCATTTCAGAACCAAGTCTCTTCTTAGCTCAGTGTCCCCGAATAGAAGTTCTGTGAGTTTGCTTAAGAATCTGGTCTAGAGGGGACAGTAGGTTAGGAGCGTGGGTGTACCCACAATAGCACTTCTGCCCTGCTGCCTCCCTGTGCCGTGCAGTGAGGGTAAAGGGTAGAGGAGGAGTTCACCCACAGGGCCCAGAACTGGGTCCACGTGTGGTAGGAATGTGGTCAGCTTTCCCAGGATCTGAACGAATGTCTGAGTCTTCTAGTCCTTATGCTCTGAGGACCAGGGACAGCGAACCTCCAGGCATGTGGGGACGGCAGTAAACCATCTGTTCCTCAGGTTGTCATGCACACCAGACTAATTCCAGAGAGAAACTCAATCACTGTATTCAAGGGTCTCAAAACCTAGGGGGACATAAATGTATCTAGGAAAATGTTATTTCACGTAGCAGCAACAAGGCGTGTTGAAATAGGGGGGCTTGCTTGGGAGAAATCTTGACACGGAGATTTGGTTCCTGGATGTCCTTGTGTAACTGAACTTTTATTACTACAAAACAAGGCTAGGGGCTGGAGAGATGATTCAGCACAGACTGCTGAGCTCTGCTCACGGCATCCGTATCAAATGGGTCACAACTACCTGTCGCTCCGGCTCCGGGGAATCCAAAGTGAGCACTGCACTCGCGCGTGCATACCTCATAACACGCAAGTGAAAACAAACCCTCACAAAACAAACAAAAAACCAAGGATAGCTGTTATTCGTCTGTTTTGTGTTGCTATTAACGACTATGTGATGCGGGATAATGTCTAAAGAAAGGAGGTTTGTTCATTCAATAGTTACAAAGTTTGAGACCATGGCACCTGGGAGCCTCGTGGTGGGTGGTGTTGAGGTAGCAGGAGTGGGTGTAGAAAGTACCATGTGGTGACACAGGAAGGAGGTGAGACTGAGTTGAAGCACCCAGACCCTCCCTGAATCAGCCCCCACACCAGGACCACACCCTCCTAGTCTCGGTATTCTCTACTAGACCCTGGCTTTTAGGGGCTCTGTCATGTCCACCCAAAGCTTCCAGCACACAGTCCAGTGTAGCAGACAGTGTTGGCATCCATGACATAGCGCTGGCATGGCCAAGGGAGGATATGTGTAAGGCACATGGTTATGGGCTCAGCATAGGCAAGTGTGACTCTTTCTAGTTCCCTGGTCCTCTGTGGTATTCCCAAACAGCTCAAGGTTCTAATACAGAATAAGCGACATGAATTCCAAACCCTCTCCAAAGGTTGGAATTATGGGAAGAATGGTGAGACTAAGTTTAGTTGAAACTAGTACCTCAGTGTTGACCATCCAAACCCGAGGCTGGAGCGGGGGTGGGGGCAGAAACTCTGCTCTCTCGCGATGAGGCCTTGAAGGTCTGTTAAACACCTTCCTGGTATGTGTTCTTAAGTGGCTAGGGACAGTTGTATGGACTCAGGTGGGGTTAACAAAAACATTGCATTCAGGATAGAGAAACTGAGGCAGCCTCACGTGGAAGGTGGTGTGAGAAGGGCACCCAGGATGACACAGGATTTGAAGCTCTCTTCCGGGGTGGCTGAGGATGGTTCATGAAGACTACTGGGTACTCCGGAGGACTTGGAGAAGCTGTCGCTTCCAAGGCATGCAGACTCAAGTGGAGGAGGTGGTGTAAGTGACTGATTAGCCTGTAGATAACCCATGAGCCCAGACCCTGTGTGGTTTCCTTCCAGATTCCTGACAGCAATCGTATATATTATACCCCAGCCACCCTGGGACTTCGGAGGATGAGTGATGGCTGACTGCACTGTCAACAGGACGTGATAAGAATGACCTTAGAGAGACACCCAGTAGTGTTCTAGAGAGGTCTGCCTGAGAAGGGAAACCCCTCAAACGTAGGTGTCACTGTCCCTTCTGGGGTCCTGGACTGAATGACGACAGTGGATGGAGAATTGCCTACATCTCATTCTGTTCCTGACAGGGGAGGAGATGTTACTGTTGCCTATGCTCCTGCTTGTTAGGGTTCAAATCCCTCAAAATGGCAGTGTCATTGACAGTATCATGATTGACAGGTGACATGGATGACAGTGTAGCTCAGTTTGGGTTGGACTCTGACCAGAAGAGTTACTACTTAAAATCGGCATTCCTCAGAAACCCTGTAAAGTGGGTTTCTCTCTGCCGGGAAGATCCAGGGCTTTCTTATCCTCTCTACAATCCCTACTAGGGCATCTAGTTCCCTGTTAACCCAAGCAAGTATCCAACAGATCAAGACTGCTTGTCAGTTCCCAGGCTGTTCCAGTTAACTCACCTCCTCCCTCTGTGACATGACCCCTCCCCCCATAACTGTGCCATTCTTGCTACCTGAGTGTAGCCATGACAGTTTTGAATTCCCCAAAAATAAATCTTTTGTTTTGCTTTGGTTTGTTTTAAATACACTATGGAGCAGTCTAGTTTGAGGGATTTCACCTGCCCCTGCTTACCCTGCTGCCATGCCTCCCTGTTGAAATGGACTGTATCCCCTTAGGCCTGTCTTGTCATGGCTCATGACCACACCTTGTCAGAGCAGGGATGGGGTAGTACTTTGTACTTGATTACAGCTTGTGGTTTTCCATGGGCAATTTCAAGGTCTGGGTCGGGTCTCCTTTGAACCCAGGACCAGGCACTGTTTTGGAGTGGTTCCTAAAGCCTGACATGTGTCCCTGTTGCATGGCATGTAGACCAACATGCAATCCAGGCAGTGTCTTTGCCTCATAGACAGCAGAGGGTCTTGGGCATCCAGCTCAGAGTGTAGGGACAGAGCAGTGATCCTGACGAGGAAGCCGTGGCTCTGCCCAGGAATCAGTGAATTCTGCCTCTCAGGAAAGGGGACCGACCTGGGCAACGCTGTTCCTCACTGTGCCAATGAAACATCAGGGAAATATTTCTTACATTCTTAAAGGCTGGAACTTTTGCTGGACCTCACAGCCAGCGTCAGTAGCACACTTTGAGGTCACGAAAGACTGCTGTCCTACTGTGCGCTCGGCCTGTTTGTTAGCCTGCCTTTTAGAGAACAGTGTAACCAACCAGCCTTGGATTTCCTGTGTAGTCAGCTTTTACAACCCAAGCTAAGGCGTATTTACCCGTGATCTTAGGTTATGGACTCTTCCATGTCCTCCTACCCTCCTCTGCCCACAGATAATGCACGTGTATCATTTGCTGACAAGCAGCAAATCCCGGGGTTGCAAGCTGCCGTTTCCGGATACTGGTTGATAAACAATGATGTTCTCTGGATTCGTTGGGGTCAGCGACTTACTACCTAGTAAAATTCTATTAACTGTTTCTGTAGAGTATGCCATTTCTACCCCCATGTGGTACGTCTGCGCCATTGAATAAAAAGAGAGCAAAGGTCTATGCCAGGGAGGGCGACACACAGCTGGAGGCAGGAAGGAGAGAGTTCAAATCTGGACCGGTTAGATGAGTCCAAGGGGGAGGTGCTTTTCCCTCCTTAATTCCACACTAATGCATTATTGGTGACTCAGAATTAATCACTAGCCCACTTAATCCACACCGTTTGGTGCTCCGTGTGAGAAGCCAGTGAGGAATGTGTGGAACCTTTAATGCATTTTGGAATACCCAGTGTGAAGTTCAGAAAATCTGAACTCATACGAGAAGATTGGAAAGATTCCTCATTGGAGGTGGGACTTGTGTACTGTCTCACTTACCAAAAGTGACAGGAGCCTGGGAATCTCCTCAAAGCTCCCACCAAGTCAGCCTGTGGTAGTGGAGAGGTCCGGGGAGTAAAGAGGAATTTGGGTGTCTCAGGCAGACCAGTAAGTCCGTCTCAGGAGCAGGGTTCTGAAAGCTCCTGACTTTCAGGACACTCTGAAAGCTTCCCCAGAGCAAACACCACCTCAGAAGCAGGGTTCTGACACTCTGAAAGCTTCCCCCAGAGCAAACACCACCTCAGGAGCAGGGTTCTGACACTCTGAAAGCTTCCCCCAGAGCAAACACCACCTCAGGAGCAGGGTTCTGACACTCTGAAAGCTCCTCCAGAGCTGACACCACCTCAGGAGCAGGG